CATAATAATATACTTAACAAATTTGATCTACTTAATGTATGGGAGAGCTCGATTTTCTTTATTTCATGTTTCAAATGGAATGAAAAAATGACCTTTTTCAATTTTCAGTGTAGTTTTAATGCTCGCGGAGTGCTTTTAAGAATGAATAGCAAGATCTCACGGAGAAATGTATACCTACATAGGACTGTATATAAGTCACTTATCCTTGATGCTAGACTAGAATGTAATAGTTTTTCTTTCATAGAATCCTTTGTTTTAATATTAAAGGATCACAGAGTATTTCCAATAATGTGAAATACACATCTTGTCACAATGGAAAATTTAAAAGCATCCATAACAATATATCATTGATATAACTCATTTATACGAAATGTGGCTATTAAATGTATGTTAGAAAAGTTTAACGAAATATCAAAGAATTTCACTGCCGTTCAGTAATTCCTTTTCCAGTGAATAAACCAAAATCCAATATAGCGTAGCATTACGGCTGTGCTAATAAGCACGTCTTTAAGAATAGAACTCCTAAAAATTATTGGCCATTTTCTATGACAAAAACCCATATTAGATTCTGTTGAAATGAATTATTTCACCAATATGAGAAAAGTACCATTAATTGTCAATAACTCCCATTTATTAAATGTTTGCTCATAGTTAAGGTCGTAGCTACAAACAAATGCACTACGGGAATTTTTTTACATGTTTGTGGACTTTTACAGGTTAGTAGAGTACTGAGAAGGACTGTTGGTCTTGATGTTGTTTGATGTTTTGGCAACCTTGGTGGTTGTCATCTTCAGAATCAAGCAAGAATTGAATGCAATAAACATTTTGTCGTCTGGAAAAATAATTAAGTCATATAATTAAGAAAAATAAATAAGTCGACTTGGAATTCATTATAAAACGCATCAGGGGAAAACTTACGTGAAATCGTCTGCTCATTACTTTCATAGTCTGTATTTTATTCTCAATTCTGCATTTTGTCTTCAATTGGCTTCGTTGCATCATCTTCGTTGCATCAGCACGGTTTTCTGCTTTGCATTGCGTCATATTTATTTCACTATAGCTCGGTTGGACATGTTTTATTCTGCAGAAACTAACTTGTTAAATCTATTAGTTTCTTATTGTTTTAGAGTTCTCGGCTCGCACGCCGTCAATCCATTAATATATGGAGTATTAGACAGGAAAGTGTTGTGTTTTTGGAAGCGCTGCACAGGAAGACAAATTTAAGCTAATTCAGATCGAAAAACGTTTGCTTTTGAATCACTTACATATGTTTCCTGTTCTATAGATAGTTTTGGAGTTGTAACCATGTGCTATTTTCCTCATCCACCTTAATTAAAAAAGGTCAAGTTGAGCCTCTTTTGTCAACTTACATTGGTTAGACATCACAGAAAATTGGTATCAAGAAAGTGAAATTTTATGAACGGCTTTTGTTTTTCAGGGTTATTTAGGTACAATTGGGATCAACTATAAGACTTAGATTTGTGATCACCACCAGAATAGATTTCTCTACAGTTTTTCTATTTTCATTAAAAACTTGGCCTCGTGCTGTAATCAAAAGACAAACAGCTGTTTTTTGAACAGTCAAGATATATTTGACACCAGTGCTCATATATGTAAATATGTAAAATAAGCCCTTATTCATTAAGTATATTATCTCTAAGTTTGTAATCTTTGAGTGTAGTTTACTTAAGCACATAAATTAGATTAAAACATTTACACTGACTAAAACACCTAATGAAAGCTTATTATAGGCATCTACTATAAACTATTTTACTTTACAATTTCGGCCGCACAAGCATTGAATTTCTCATATGTAGAATATTCCACAAACAACTGTGGATCTTATAAAGATTCAAATTAGTTAAAAAAAAAGGAGAAAAATCTAGAAATTACCATACTTGGTATGTTGTTTTGGAAATGATAACATATTTTTTGCTTTTAATTGTTGCCAAAATATCTAGTACCTTTGCTATCAGCAAACATTTAATCAACGGGAATTGATGATAACTTCTGAAATTTTCTGAAATTTTCTCAATTCAGTGAAATAGTTTATTTCAAAACACTCTAATATGGTTTTGTGTCAAATAAATTGACCAACTTAGATAATTTTTATGTGTTTTATCAAAGAAAACGTGCCTATTTACACAACTCTAATGTTACGCTAGCTATATTGTTTTTTTTATTCACTGAAAAAGAAATTATTGAAAAGGTTAAGTATTTTCACAACATATTTCAGATTAGTCTCTTTCAACTCACATATACATATTAGGAACGTTTAGTTGGTCAGCCATATGTCAATCCTATTGTTTTGGAAGCTTATTGCTTTCCTATGCATTGTCGCAATGTATGTGTATTTGGTGTTGTTGGAAATACCTTCTTTCAATCGAAGAAAGATAAAATATTTTGTGGTATAGCGTACATCAATGACTTTGTAACGACATTTGGAATGACAATTCAAGTGTTTATTGTAGATTTTTGAGGTCCATATCTTCTTTAAACATTCTTTATTTATTTTTTGTCGCTTCTCTTCTTTGCAGTGAGTCATAGAATCATGGCAGCAGCCAGCTTATGCACTGATTTAATAGCGCTTCTTCATTTAGTATTGTCATCTGCGCAGTTTCAACTAATAGCTTTGCCCTTTTGTCCCAAAAGTGTTACAAGTTGCATTCTTTTCATTTGAGAACAGAAAAGAAATATGGAGAAGTACAAAGATGGTTTAGTGTACGATTTGAAACTTAAAGCTTTTCCTTAATAAAACAAGTTCTCCCGTTTATTTAGAGATTGGTGATAAAATTCTATTCTCTCTTTTCAGATTTGTCATTTCCATAGCGTTCTGTAGTTCATTGTACTTTGAACAAATCATAAACTTTGATAAAAAATTCAAACTTTATACCCAGACATATTAAAGGATGACCAGAATTACATTGACGGCAAATTTTACCAGTAAATTTTTTTCTATTTACCATGGCCTAATGTGCAGGATGTAAAAAAATGAGACCTTTAGAAACTGACGTATCGTGATGATTTAAATGTCTATCTCTATGCTACGTCAACAAGTGCATAAAGTATTGTCAGTCACTAGCAAATATAACAGATTTTTCTCACTACCACTATAAAGTTTATCTGAGCCTATGTACCAGTGGGGTTATTATAGTAATAACATGGCTGCCTAGGGATCTTTTGTTATCACAGTGAGCGTCATCAATAAAACAATACGCCTATATTGTTTTCAATTTATGTCGTTGAGTGGTAACAGAAATCGTCTTACCCTGGCGTCAGAAATTTTTTTGTCACTAACTTGGGAAAACCAGTGATGAACCATCAATTACTTCGACAGTAATTAAAAGACAAAATGTATTTGCGAAGCAAATTCATACACAGGTTCATTGAACCAATTCAAGAACAGAATTCACACTTAAATATCTAGATGAATTTCTTTATTCCATCACTGACCGCAACCATGTTATTACATAGTAAACACATGTTTTAAGTGATATTTAAATGTTCCCTTAAGCCCCAAGAATTTTACGGGACATTAATTACTAATATGCCTGAAAGCTATAATAATAACATGGCTACCTTGGGATTATTATTATCACAGTGACGTTTACTGACGTATTTCCCTCAATTATAGAGATAGGGAAAATTAGTTCTAAAGATCCCTCATCAATATATTCATTAGAGACGTTTAGACTGACTTTATAGTGCCTCGCAGTTTGTGTCGTTGAGTGGTAACAGAAATCATCCTTCCCTCGCGTCGAAATTTTCTTGTCACTGACTTGGGAAAATCAGTGATGAATCATCAATAACTTCAATAATAATTAAAAGACAAAATATATGTGCAAAACAAATTCATACATAGGTTTATAGAACCAATTCAAAAACAGAATTTACAATTAAATTACAACATGAATTCTTTATTCCATCCCTAACACACCAATGTATGATTTAAACATAATCAATGGTTGTCAATATTTAAAAGTTAGCGCAAAATTTGATAACATTATTGTCAAATGGGAAAGTCGAATGCATTGATGTTATTGCAAAGTAAACGCATGCTTTCAGGAATATTAGTGATTAATTTTCCCCTTAGGCTTCGAGAGGTTTTTTACTAAACCTAACTCGGTTTGCAGGACATTTAATCACTAATATCCCTAAAAGCATGCCTTAATTTACTTTATAATAATCGGTATTGAAATTTTAAAAAAAGCGATTAGCTTGTTATTGATTACCAATGGTGGCGAAATGGCTTCTAAACCAGAAAAATACAAGAGGATTTTGCCAGTGCGAAAATAAAGTTGAACTCAAACAAAAAATATATCATAAATAACGTGCAAACGTGAAACTCAACAGCAGAGTCTTTACGGTGATATATACACATGAAATTGTTTGTAGAGATCAAATGTTCATTCGTAAGTAATATATTCTCATTAGGGATTCTTAATTTATCAGAGCTTCGTTATCATGTGATTGTATTTTGTAAAACTTTCCATCAGTGAAAGAAAATACCATTACATGTGGGTGATATTAGTTTGGATTATTGACCGCCAGCAATTCATCCGTCGATCACCTTTAGGTTAAAACTACTCTCAGATAATTATTCATACAAGGGCCATCTCCTTCTTCTAAGCTTCTATTGCTCATAAGTTAAAACTTACCATACAAACAAGAGACTTTATCGACAATAACAAAAGAACGCCTTGGAATGCCTTGCCGTTCATTATCACAGAAGATTTCAAATTTTTTTTAAGAAATTTCGTATAGCTAACAAACTTTCATTAAAATGAACGAAACATTGAATTCGCTTCTCGAATAGAAAAACTGTATCTCCTTCACTCTAAATTTCGTTTAGTTAATTGTTTGTAGTTAATTGTAGATAGGAATATTTGTTGCCAGGAATTAGGCCGCGTTAATTGGTAAACACAAAGGTAGACATAAAGGTAGACATAAAGGTAGACTTAAAGGTAGACATAACGGTAGACTTTAAGGTAGACATAGAGGTAGACATAAAGGTAGACATAAAGGTAGACATAAAGGTAGACATAAAGGTAGACATAAAGGCAGACATAAAGGTAGACATAAAGGTGGACATAAAGGTAGACTTAAAGGTAGACATAAAGGTAGACATAAATGTACACATAAAGGCAGACACAAAAGTAAACATAAAGATAGACATGAATGTAAACATAAAGATAGACGTAAAGGTAGACATAAAGGTAGACATAAAGTAAGACATAAAGGTAGACATAAATGTAGACATAAACGTAGACATAAAGGTAGACATAAAGGTTTATTTACTTACAGGATCCTAAACATTCACAAGCAATTGATTATTGAGGTTACTGATATTTTCTTGAATTTTCTTTAATTTAATAGAAAATTGTCGTATTAAAGAGTGAAAGTTTATCGTCCATTGTGGCATTTCGTCATAAAATATGGAAAATTTGAATACTTTTTAATGCGTTTTGTTTTTGGGAACGTGCTTGTTCACACTTGAAGCTGTGCCGCGACGCTATATTAGTTTTTAATTTTATGTACTGTACTAATATCTTAAAATTAAATTCAACAAAAAATCAATAAGTTTTATCGATGTTGGGTTTTATAATTACACAGTATAAGCTTTCGATAGTTCTAATTACTCAGTTTTAGCACATAAATAAATGTAAAGCTGAAAATGAAGATAGAACAACGCATTGGCTTATTTGAGTATTTTACTTAATGAGCAATTGAACAGCCAAGTTCTAGAGGTTATTTGCAAAGTGAAATGTAGAAAAATAGAGAGCTTTACAAAACGTGTAACTCAATCATATCAATCGTATATCACTATGGAAATTTATCTTGTGTTGGAAGTTGCAATATGTGTATTTGGAATAATTGGAAATATTCTTGTGATCGCTGCAATATTAAAACAAAAGATTTTGTTAAAAAGAACTACTACTTTCTTGTCTTACATCTTGCGATATGTGACGTGCTGGTATTACTGTGTATACTCTTTAAACTATTCAAAGACGTTATAGTTCTGTTATACAGTGCAAATTTAAATCACATTTATTTCTTGTTGACATCAAGTGAAATTTCTGTAATTTTGATCATTTCAGTTTTACGTTATCGCCCAATAGTTCATCCAATGAAACTTCCCTTCAGTCGACGAAAGGTAAAAGTCATTTTTGGTTAAGCGTACCTAATTTGTTTGATTGTAACTGTTGCATATTACGGTGGCCGGTACGTGTCACCAGAAAAATAATTTAAAATACATAACAAAGAATGAGAAAACATCACTCAGAATCATACTACACATTTCAAAATACTCACTACACATTTCAAAATACTCACTACACAATTCAAAGTTCTCACTACACATTTCAAAATACTCACCACACATTTCAAAATAGTCACTACACATTTCAAAATAGTCACTACACATTTCAAAATACTCACTACACATTTCAAAATACTCACTACACATTTCAAAATACTCACTACAAATTTCAAAATACTCACTACATATTCGTTCCCGTCTTATCCTGGTCTGGCCTGCCCACCGTCGTCATTAGTTTCCATATACGAAATTGACGTGACGGCAGAAAGCTAGTATAAATATACGCTTCCGACATTCAGTACGCGTAAAGATGATTTGATGCTATTGTGGCGATACGCGTACATGAACTATTATTAATATTTCTTTCAGGGATTTCATAGTCTTGGTTAGACAACACAGCATGAGTGGTCAATCTACAGATTATATGTAATTGTATTTGTATTGGTTATATTTGACAGTCGTTAGTTTAACTAATGCACTTATTGACGTGACTGGTATTGAAGTTCTATATTTATTGTTTTTACTTGAAATTACCGAACTTTTCATTTTCTTTGTCGTTTCTTGTGCAACAAACTATAGCGCTATGTGCAAATTTCTTCTTTGGTTTCCTTGTTATTTTTGTAACGCATCACACAAGTACGTACTTTACCTAGCGAATGCAAATTCATATACTAAAATTTTTGCTATTAAAGTACGGACATGTGTCGAAAGCCGCTGCAAATACATTTGCTTGTGAAATGTAGATCGTCTACTAATGCTGTTGCACGACCAAGTCCAGCAAAACCCTGGAAGAATTTCTAATTAGAGTTCAGCAAATATTTTCATGCTATTGTCCCAATGTCCCTATTTGTTTGTTAATATGTCCTAATAGATATTGATAATCATAATATATTCTTGTGATCCAACATGGCGGAATCAAAACTCTCGAAACTGTTGGTTTCAATTTCCCTCAATGAAAGGGGCAATAAAAAACATCAACGTTCGCCCACGGATATATTCTTTTGTATTTGACCTCCAACATGGCGGCATTGTAACTGAAGAATATATTGATGGTCGAAATTTATTGAGACTGGCGTATAACTTAAATATTAATTAGAAGTTTTTCTTTCCGAATTGCAATTCAGTTTCGAGGGTCTGATTACATGAGCACAATAGCCGGGATTCAGCGAAGCGTTAAATCATTTTGGCAATCGAAAAAGATTAAATACTTCACAACAAAAAACTTGTTGACGAATTTCTCTATGCTCTGAATCTGCAAATTCAGAAAACCTTTAAAATGAAAACAAATAATTTAGCCTGATTTAAAAATTACAACTAAAATGACTTATGGCGCTTAAGAAATTGTTGTAAGTTTTGCGTTTGAACTTTTGCTTTTTTTACTACTTCAAATTCATTTCACGCATCGCCTAATCCCGATTACCCGGCTCATGTAAACAGCCCCTGAGGTACTTTTATTTACTAATTGAACATGGCGTGAGGCATAATATGTTTTTCTTAGTCAATCTTCTTCTTAAATACAAAAATACACGTTTTTTTTACCAAGTTATTACTCCTTGGGGATTAATTATTTCTTAATGAAGGTCGGCTAATTTTGAAGATGAGCGGTTTTTGAGAGAGCCCGTATAAATATTAAATCTACAACTGTAGGAAGGTGTGGTTAACTTATCATTGACTAGAAATGACTTGCTTGCAGAATGGCTGCTAATCTCGATACAAGATTATTGAGCCAGTAGTTTGAAGTTGATTCTAAGGCTCAAGATGGTAAATTAAGACAAATAATTATACACAATGTTTCAAAGTATTGATCTTTGAAACATTATGTATAATTTTGTTCAATTTTGTTGTAGACGACAAAGTATAAATCAACGTTTCCAACCCTTTTTTTTATCTTTTCTTTTTGCTAAAATACGTCGACTGCTTCAACTAGGTCCTTTTGAAATATCTTCATTTGCTCATTCAGGAATAAATTTAGGTAAATATTGAAAGAAATTTTCTGTGACGTTAATATACAATATAAAACTATATATTGAACAAGTAAATTCTGAGATGAGATAAAAGGATTGGATAAGTAGTAGTGCTATTTTTTGGGGGAATTAACCATATGTTCCATGGAAAACAATTATTATCGCCCACGCTTGCTAGAGCTCCCAAAATAGCAATGACGATATTTTCTATTGTATTAGACCTCCAACATGACGTAATGTAAACTCAAGAATATATTAATAGATGATGACAAAATCTTTTGCATCTGACCTCTAATTAACATGGCGGAATTATAACTGAAGAATATATTAATAGTATGATTAATAGTAGATGGCAAAACTTATTGAAAACGACGTATAACGTAAATATTAATGAGAGCTTTTTCTTTCTGAATTACCATTCAGTTTTGAGGTTGCTTTATTTACTAATTGACCATAGGCTGAAGCATAAAATTTTTTTCTAAGCTAGTCCTTCATGTTGAATGCAAAACATGTTTTTCTTTCAATGTTATTGCTCTTTGGAGATTAACTATTCCTGAATCGAGCAAATTCTAAATGTCGAATGATTTCAAATACAAGCAGTTTTTTGCGACATTCTCTACGTACAAACCAACTATTCTAAGGTGTGGCTATAACTTATGATTGACTTCTTTGCTTGTAGAATGGCTGCCAAACCAAATACAAGATTATTGAGCGAGTTATAGTAGATGCGGAAACACTATGAAAAATAAAACAAACTAAGAAGACAGTACCATTTTAATTCGTTATATGAGAGGAGACAACAATACCGTTGTATTTGGAACTTGTTACTATTTCGTCATCACAAAGTTGATCTCAAAGAAAAGGAAATGACATAAAGAAGAACTGTTGACCAAATTGTTAAGATGAACCTCTAAGAATTTTAGGCGATGTCGACGTACGATTGTAAGGCTCGTGATGGTAATTCAAATAATAATTCATATTTCAAAATGGTAATCTATTAAATCGTGTGATTGGCTTCAAACCTTCCTTCGGTTGAAAATAATGTCTGTTGCATGTAGTTTAGAATACGTCGTTACGCTACATACAAACGCTCCCAACACGTACACTTAACATGCACTCAACATTGTTTTGCGTTTTTTGAATGATGTTCAAGCGATGCACGCAATCGCTGTAAGCATGTTCATCCTTAAAAAATAACACGTAAGATCATGGGATACAATGTTGAAGCCTAGCAACTGCATGTATACTAGCAACAGTTGCAACTATTGCAGTTTGGTCATAACAACCATATGAAAAATTGGTCATTTAGAAATTGCCAATTAAAATGGTCAATACAACCATATCATATGAATGTTTTATGCAGTGCGGTGTTTGAAATTAAATGAAGATATGATCTTCGCACTTTGCTGGACAATTTAAGCAATCGTCTCAGGACCTGAAAAAATCAGGTGACTCAACGGGATTCGAACCCATGACCTCTGCGGTGCCGGTGCAGTGCACTGACCAACTGAGCTATGAAGTCACACAGTGGTGAGAAGGTCAATATAGTTGTGCTGTTGTTTTCTCGTGAAAGGAATGTCGTATGAATGTTTTATGCAGTGCGGTGTTTGAAATTAAATGAAGATATGATCTTCGCACTTTGCTGGACAATTTAAGCAATCGTCTCAGGACCTGAAAAAATCAGGTGACTCAACGGGATTCGAACCCATGACCTCTGCGGTGCTGGTGCAGTGCACTGACCAACTGAGCTATGAAGTCACACAGTGGTGAGAAGGTCAATATAGTTGGGCTCTTGTTTTCTCGTGAAAGGAATGTCGTATGAATGTTTTATGCAGTGCGGTGTTTGAAATTAAATGAAGATATGATCTCACCAGTGTGTGACTTCATAGCTCAGTTGGTCAGTGCACTGCACCGGCACCGCAGAGGTCCTGGGTTCGAATCCCGTTGAGTCACCTGATTTTTTCAGGTCCTGAGACGATTGCTTAAATTGTCCATCAAAGTGCGAAGATCATATCTTCATTTAACAACCATATCACTTAGAAATACCCTGGTCATTTAGAATCAACAAATTAGACATAATATAAATCCTAACACGGTTTTTATATGCATATGAAAAACATGTGACTTGGACGAGATTTGAACTCCCTCCTTCGGGTACTAATCCACCGCTCTACCTGTTGAGGTACCAAGCCCACAGGGAGTAGCGACGAGTCATACTCGTCTCGACGAGATGATTCTCGCCACAATATCAGTTAAGATGGTTCAAACAAAAATTTTGAAGGTTGTAACCAATATGCAATTTCGTCATAACTACCGTGTTAAAAATTGGTCAATTAGTAATGATCAAATGGATTTTATTGAACAATAAACAATAGGTTGCCTTTCTTTATTTGTTTATATTTGTTTTTTAGTAAATGTGTTATAGTTTTGACCACGTGACATACAATCAAAAGAAATAATCAAAATATATATAAAAAAATAAATACATAAAAGATAAAAGTTTCTCCGGATTTTAAGTGATTTGTATTGAGCTTTCGACTCGTTGCTTCGAGCCTTCATCAGAATGAAAAATATTTATTTACACGTGCTTTTAGCTTGGAGACGTTTAGAGCGTCTAATTGGATTAGTGGATGCATTAATGTGATTGGATGGGGTGAAATGCGTTGCCATGGGTATTGGTGTACTGTGAATATGATTGGTGTTAATAATATTAGAGTGTAGTGTTTTAGTTTTGGTGTTGTTTGTAGTTTTTATGTCCTTTTTCTTTAGTTGTGAGTATATGATGGGTATGTCGATATGTCTGTTTATTGTGTCGTTGTCTTTACTGTACCAAGCTTCTTTAAATTCGCGTGCGTGTTTAGTCTGTGCGCGTCCGAGTACTTTAGTTTCTGTCCAGTCGAATGTGTGGTTGTTTCCGTGGGTATGTTATACCGGTAGTGAGTTCAGATCTCGTCATTTTATGGCGTTTTTGTGTTCTGTGAGTCTTGTTTCAATTTTCTTAGATGTTTGTCCTATGTATTGCTTTGAACAGTCTTTACACGGTATCATGTAGATCGCTTCAGTTGTATCCTGAATTGTTGTTTTGTCTTCATGTTTGGTGAAAAATGATTTGAGTTTTTGTGTAGGTTTGTGGGCGACGTTAATATTAAATGGTCGAAGAAGTCTGGCAGTCATTTCTGATGTTCCGTTTATGTATGGTAATGTGACGATTTTTACTGTTTCGTCCGGTTTTTTGTTGCTGTTGTCGGTTTGTGTTTTGTTTTGTATTTTGCATATAGTTTTGTTTATGAAGTTTCTAGGGTAATTGTTTTTAATAAATGTGGAGTATAAGTAGCTACGTTCTGATTTTTTGGCTTCTTCCGTTTTACAATGAGTGTTTATCCTGTTGAAAAGTGTTTGAATGCAGCTTATTTTGTGTTGTGTTGGATGATTGCTGTTGAAATTGAGTATTTGGTCTTTGTGGGGGGTTTTGCGGTATACTTGTGTGTTTAGTGTACCGTCATCTGTTCTGGTTAGTAGGATGTCGAGGAATGTAAGTTGTTTGTCGTGCTCTTCGTCTTTAGTAAAGGTAATGTTTTTTGTGGTATTGTTTATGGTGTGTAGGATTTGTTCAGTTTTGGTTTAGTTTCTTTTTGTCTTTTAGTTGTTTCAGTTTCTGGTTGAAGCGGTTGGTGGTCGTTTTGCTGGGGTCTGTGTGGAGAAGTTCGTAGGTGGTGGTGTCTTGTAGGAGGGTTTTGGCTTTGTCGATGTATTCTGATCTGTCCATGATAACTGTTTTGCGTCCTTTGTCAGCTCGTAATATGATTATTTGGTCGTCGTTTTGTAAGTTTTTAATTGCTCGTAGTTCTTCGTAGTTTATGGTGACAGGTGGTTTGTGGCAGAGGTTATTTGTGATTTTGTGACGAATGTCTTCTTTCGTTTGGTCTGTTAAGTTGGTGTACTTTAAAGCGGATTCCAGGTCGGCAACGTAGTCAAGTTTGTTCGCGTCTTTAAAGTTGTAATTAACTTTGTTTAAATTTTAGTTTGCTGTTCGGTTAGTGGTTTGTTCAAGATGTTTGTGACAAATTCGTTTGTGTTGGGATGGAGTTGTTTGTAAGATCTGGATTCTTGTAATTTTCGATAACGTTCGTGGTGTCGTTTTGTTCTATATGCGGATGTTGCTTGTTTGATGGCTTCATTAATGGTTTTGGCTGATTGATTGTGTGTATGTTGTTACGGTTTCTCGATGATCTTGTAGTTTATGATTTGTAGATTTGTAAGGGTTGATCCCACGTTTACACCTCCCAAACCCAAATGCAATTTGTTGTTGTTTGCATTGGTGTAGTAGCTTTTAGTTGCTCCATGTTGATGACTCTTTACGTGCGAATAATTCCCATTTTCTTGTTCTTCTGAGAATATCTATCCCATATGTCGATTTTATAAGTTTGAAAATTTGTAATCAAGGCATTTAATATATAAAAGATAAGTTTCTCTGGATTTTAAGCGATTTTTATTGAGCTTTTCGACTCGTTGCTTCGAGCCTTCACCAGAATGAGGATGTTTATTTACACGTCCGTATGTTAAACGTCCTCATATCAGATGCCCACAACCGCTTACGAATCTACCGTCATAAACTACAAGAACATCGAGAAACCGTAACAACATACACGACACAATCAGACGCCAAAACCATTAATGAAGCCATCAAACAAGCAACATCCGCATATAGAACAAAACGACACCACGAACGTCATGGAAAATTACAAGAATCCAGATCTTACAAACAACTCCATCCCAACACAAACGAATTTGCCACAAACATCTCGAACAAACCACTAACCGAACAGCAAACTAAAATTTTAAACAAAGGATTAAATTACAACTTTAAAGACGCGAACAAACTTGACTACGTTGCCGACCTGGAATCCGCTTTAAAGTACACTAACTTAACAGACCAAACGAAAGAAGACATTCTATAAGATCATATCGTTACCATGTCCTTTAAAAATATTTTCAGGTTCGATAATATCGTTCTCCGCAAACGCTTGAAATTATTATTAACACTACTGTGTTTAATTGCATTTGTCATTTGATTTATTAAAATTTATTTTTAATAATCTTTTTCTCAGTTGTACATGCATAAATATCTCAACAGTGTCCATGCATGCATGTCGTACAACGGACTCCAAATGGACTTTATTATACTAAAATATTTGAACTTCAATTCCTGCAAAAAGTTATATCTCAGTCTGTCAGCAGATGGCATGATGACTTCAACAATCGTTTGTCTTCGCAAAAAATGCGATCAATATGTTATCGGCAAATCATTATATCTTGACATTGTCCACCAATTTAGTCTAATAAAGTTCGTCTAAGAGATCATATTACACATCCAATAAAACAACGCAAACTTGATTAGTTTTGGACACGTTTCGTTTTAAGAACGCCCTCATTAAAAACAGCTGTTTATGATGAGGTGCAGTATTCAATATTTACGGAAAACACAGTTTATCATCACATTTGAACAGGAAATAAGAAGAAAATAGGGCACTCCAAAGTTGGCCAGACAAATCATTCATAATGAGAGATATTGTAGTGTTCGTTGTGGCAATATGTGTTCTTGGCATTGCTGGAAATACTCTTGTGATCGCTTCAATTTTAAAACAAAAGATTCCGTTAAAGAAGAACTACTACTTTCTTGTCTTGCATCTTGCAATATGTGGCGCATTTGTACTATTGAGTATATTTCTCTTTGAGATCTTTGAACACCATTTGAAAAGCAATCCAATTTTGTTAAACTGCTCATATATAAGTGGCATAGATACTTTTTTTCGAATAAGTGGAGTATCTATGATGTTGATCATTTCTGTTCTACGTTATCGTGCGATAGTTCATCCATTGAAACCTTCTTTCAGTCGACAAAAGATAAAAATGGTTTGTGTTTTAGCATATATCATTGGTTTTATTACGACAGTTGGAATGACATTTGAAGAGTGCATTGTGGATCCTCAAGCTCATTATTTTATTTACGAATTGTTTGCGTTTTATTCATGTTTCTACATTTTCCGAATAATCTTCATGACTGTGACTTACTCCATAATCGCTCAAGCATTGATTAAACAAAGAAAAACACTAAGAACACTCTCCAATCCGACACATTCTCATCTACAATTCTCCACCAGCTCAAGTCTTCGAAGATATACTCGGCATAGTAAGACATTTATTGTTTGTGTCAGCACAGTTCTCTGCTTCACAGTGGGTCACGCTTGTTTTTTGGTTGTAGACGCTCTATATAAACAACACTGTTTCATCAAATTCTTCAACTAATCTTTACGTTGTTTATTTTCTCCGTCTTTTTGGCTCACACGGGTTAAATCCTCTGATCTATGGAGTATTGGATAGAAAAATGTTGTTTTTGTGGAAATGCTGCCCAAAAATAAGACCAATCTAAGTTGTTTTCAGTATCAAAAAGTAGAGATTTTTAATACAGGTGCTCCTTTATGTATTTCGAACATTACAAAGTAGCTAGAATATAATTTAGTTCTGAATTGCATTGTGAGCGCTTATATGATTCTGAGAAATGCATTTTTGTTGATTTCCAACATTACATAATTTCATAATAGTATTGTAAATCAGGTCGGCATGTTTTCCATCTCTTTATTTACTTTACAAATAAAATAAATAAATGTTTTCGACATGACGATCGCAAAATTAATTTTACAGAGTTCTTTCTGTAAACAAAAAAATTAAAAGTAATCAGTTTCCTGTCAAATTTGACGTAGATAAATACATTTATTCAATCTAAAACAGCATTTTACAAAACAGTTCAGCGTCTTTGTAAACGTCGCATATTTTGCTTTATACTGAACAAATAAATACTAAAATGAGATAAAAGAATTTTGACTGCATACACACAGTGGCGTTTTACAAATGCAGTAGGCTAAGTAGACTGAAGCCTACAGGCCCGCCTTTTCAAGACGCTCGTTGTATTTAGACATATTTTACCTTTTGCCTTTTTGTTCTAAAGTTCGACCATATATGCTGCTGGAAACTTTACGATCTACTGTTTTAATGCTTAATGCACAAAACTCATAAAGTGCAGGGGACTTACTCAGTTTGAACTTTAAATTTTTTCCTCAATGTTTACACTATATGAGTTACAAACAAAAGCCAGGAAATGCAAAAGCAATGGAACGCAAAAAACGCAAACGTCATCAAAACACTGAACTTATTTGGAGGAACAAATATCACTTAAAGACCCACAGCTTTTTCGTAGCCTAAAGGCCCCGTAATTAGTTATCCGCCACTGTATATACGCATTGCAATAACGGTGAAAACATACAAACTATAACGGCTTTATAACCTCAGTATTAGATACGAAATTCTCTTTCCAAAATGTACATCATTTTTTGGGTACTTTGAAAAATCTTATTAATCAGGCTTAACCGTTAAATAGTTTTCTAGCTACTGCTTCGATGCAACACGTAACATTTCTCTATAATTTAGAACGCTGTAAATATCTTACCTTTTAAAATGTTTACTTTTCGGTTTAAGAATGAGAATTTTTGTTGAATTTTATTGATATGATTTGTGTACGTTAGTTTTTCAAAAGCAAAAATTGAATTTTAAAACATTTCAAAATGAGGAGGGTGGTCTGGTGTTAAGAGATGATTTGAGAAAGGCTCTAGGTGATCAAAATGAACTCTCAGATAAATGGATAACTGCAGCAAATATGATCACTAAGACAGGAAAAACAATTGTAGGTGTTGTTAGAAGTTTTTTGAATGAATAGAAAAGGACTTGAAAAACTTGTAAAAAAATGTATAGGATAACAAGAGGACTTAGGAGGATAAAGATGAGAACAGGAAGATACGTCATTCGCTTTAAGGGATCAGGGATGTAAGAGATTAAGAGCACTATGTGTATATGAATATTTAGATCATCTTCAACCGCTGCAAACAATGATTTCCTCACATATTTGGTAGCCTTCTTCACTTATACGGTTTATAAACATGTTATATAAGAAGTATGATTTTTGCACTGTCTAGAGAGTTACTGAGTGGGGTGTGGGCTGCAGAAGGAGTCTCGTTGGTAATTATGAAATTGCCATAAAATGTCGTCAACAATAAACGTTAGTTTGATGGCTTAATTTTTCGTAAAACCCTTTTATGATAGATTATTACACAACACAAGAAATTTCACTGTCTAAACTACCATGTACAAAATGACAAAGTACAAATAGATATTTATTATATGACAGCTTGGTCACAGTATAGGAATATACAGTAGTGCCACTTTGCTGTGCAACTGGCTGCAGTATATTTAATTGGTTTACTGGCTCCCGTTTGCCATATCGTCAATCTTATTTGTCACACAATGCAATTTACTGGCTGTCAATATGGTAATCACATGCGTAATAAGAAATGCGTTGCACGAAAAATTCAATATAGTAGCCCTACTGTATGTTCACTATATTATCGCTTGATTGCATTGGTTTTACTTTTCAGAAACTAGCACGGTAAATCCATCACTTGCATATTTTGTTAAAATTCTGTGGTCGCCCGCAATCAGTCTATTAACATGTGCAATATTAAATAGACAAGTTCTGCACTTTTAGATGTGTTGAACAAAAATGGAGATTCAAGCTAATTCAGATGACAGACGTTTGATATTCAATCACTCGCATTTTTTTTCTAGTAGTTTAGATGTTGAAACAACATACCTTTAATGCCTTTAAACAAATGTCCTTTTATGAGTTTAATTACAGAACCAAAAAAGACACTTAAAAATATTTGCTTCGAATGATACAAGTTGAAACTGAAACTGATTAAAATATGATAAGTCACGAAATACAAATTTTCAAGCAATCTTCTTGCACACTACATTTTGAATAACACAATGTTTCCAAGAAATAATAAGAATTGTCTATAGATTATATTTCAACATTACATCCACATGGAATATTCGACAATCAACTAGTGTTCTCTTGAACTATCAAAAGAGAAATATTGAGAGGAAAATGTTGTATTTTTTTTACATTCATTTTTGACGAACTGAGACTTGTTCATTTAGAAATTACTTATAACGATAGTGAGCTAATTTAATTTTTTAATGACAAAGTAACAATGCCATCTTTTTCATCACAAATGCATGCATGAATTTATATTTCACATTTTTACAGTTGAGTTGCAACGTTTGACGTATCTGCACGCAAATAAAATTGTGAAATGGTTTAAAAACAAAATATTGCATGTTGTAAGAATACAAATACAGGGCTAAATAATTGACACATGATTCCAAGATTTGAGGCATAAAGAATATTTTTTGTTTGTGTCGCCGAATGCATTAAAGACAAAAGAAAATGAGATAAAATTCCTCATTATCTTTTGTTTTAATTGCATTCGGCTCATGTAAAATGCAATGTTTGAAAAAAGCCAGCCAGTCAATTGCTTTTTTTTGACCAGTAGGAGCACTAAGATGGCTAGCCGCAGCCTATAAAATAATTAAATATACAGAACCAAGTTGCACAATGGAGTGAGACTACTGTTTGTTTCTACACTGTGACTTTAACTTACTCCTTAATCGCTCTAGCACTAATCAAACAAAGAAAAGCCTCAGACCCGTTTCAAACGTCGAACTTTACATGAGCCGAATGCAATTAAAACAAAAGATAATGAGGAAGTTCATCTTATTTTCTTTTGTCATTAAAGCATTAAGCGCATGTAGAATGCAACGTTTGAAACGGGCATAAGAGCACTCTCCAATGCAAAACTGTCTCATTTTCAATCCTCAAAACAGGGATAAATTGAAAACATAATTCTTTGTCGTCAGAGGACGGGATTAGTTAACTATTAAGACAGCCTCCATAACGTGTAACTGAAAGAAGGAACGGCATTTCTCCTTTTGAAGATGACGTACACTCTTTCTTGGCATTATAAATATCGTTTGGTTTTAAAAATTCATTTAGCTGACGTTGGCACCCGAGGAGTAGTCTGCCGAAATGCATCGTGTCGTTTAGTTCTTTTAGAACTATTGGGTTAGTGCTCTTTACCTAAAACAGTTCTTTTAACCCTTTCATTCCCAATGATGCCATATGGCAACATTGTCTTTTATGCTACATAGCTTACATGAAGTAAGCTCAAAAACAAAAATCAGGCAAGCGTTTTTAGGTTTTGATGTGGGTGATGTGATATGTGAGGCAAATCTTCGTAAATTTGTTTTTATATTAGTTTAATTGACTATTTCACATGGTGTCCTACGGAAGTAAGTGACAGCAAATTTTCGCGCATTTTCAAAGGTAAGTTTGATTATAATATGTTTAGTTTTGTGATATATAAAAATATTAATTGATTAAATTATTGGTCCTCGTCATATTTAAGCAATTATTTTATTAAAAGCGCGATCGGCGCACATAGATTTTCTAATGTATAATGTTGTTGCCATATGGCAACAATGGGCAGATCAATCTCTGGAAGATGTCACTGTAGAAATAGTGTTAATTGGATATAAACTAAGCATTTTCTTTCTATAACTGATGTTTTTATTCTTTTTTAAGAGAGTTATAGATTTGACTGAAGCAGTAGAGCTCATTTTTTGTCCTAATGGTGAAATATCAGATGTAAGCGACATTGATGATGGTGATGATGAGCTGGAAGATATTTTCCATGCTGAGGATCCAGATTTTGTTGCCCTTCCAGACAACATTGAAATTCATGCAGTTCATGAAGATAGTGAAGTGAGTGATATTGAAGATGATGATGAACCTGTAAGGCGATCTAAACCAGCAAAGCGATGCAAGACAAAAAAGTGTAAATGGCAACAGAAAGATGTTCCTTTTCCCGAAAACCATTTCAATGATACATTCCCAGATCCACCTGAACAACTGCATTCCTCTTTGGAATATTTCAACATGTTCATTGATTTTGAAATGATAAAACAATGCACTGAACAAAGTAATATTTATGCAATGCAGAAGGATGGTAAGGAATGTGCTATCCAAAATGATGAAATAGAGAAGTTTTTGCCATCCTCTTATACATGGGTCTGTTTCCTGCACCATCATACAGAATGTACTGGGAAAATTCTTCTCGGTTCAATCCTATTGCTGAAACAATGGCAAGAAATCGCTTTGAAATTATCCTGCGCTACTTGCATTTCAATGATAATTCCAAACTGCCAGGAAGAAATCATTCTCATTATGATCCTTTATTCAAGATACAACCGTTATTGAGCAGTTTGAGAAAAAACATGCTAAAAGTTGACCCAGAGAAGGTAACAGCATTGATGAGCAAATAATTCCCTTCAAAGGTCGCAGTTTCCTGAAACAATACAATAAGAACAAACCCCATAAGTGGGGTTTCAAAGTCTTTACAAGGGCTGGTGCATCCGGAATGATGTATGACTTTGAAATATACTCTGGAAAGCAAATGAAACTGGAAGGAGATCTTGGTATCTCTGGCAATATTGTACTCAGACTTACCAAAAATTTGGCAGATCACAAAGATTACAAGATATATTTCGACAACTGGTTTGCATCAGTACAGTTGGTAGAAATGTTAAAAGAAAGAGGCATTTGGGCAGTAAAATTGTTATAGTTGTAAATATTTCTTACTTGTAGTATTGCTATCTTGTACATATTTTTTTCTTTTACTTGGAGTAAATGGGAGCCTCACTGATCAATTGTATTTTTAGTTAATTTTATGGATTTTAATACAGGCAAAATCATTATAACACTTCAATGTCAATCAATAAACATGAGTATTAAGTATACAGCTATGTCACTATACTCCCAATGTTGCCATTTGGCAACAAAATTTTAATTCCATGAAAATATAAATTTTTAGACTAGCAATGAAATTCATGACATATTTAACATTGTTTCTATGCATATATAGCGCAGAAAAATTTTTTTGGCCACGGCTAATAATTTGGGAATGAAAGGGTTAAGAACTATTAAATTTTTACTTTACTATTTTGTTCATTCTAAAATATTTGAAATTCAACTCTTGTATAAAAGTCATTTTCATAGTCCAGCAGCAGGCATGATTACTTCACAGATCGTTTCACTTGGGCAAAAAATTAGATGATTTGTTATCGGCAATTCATGGTATCTTGACATGGTCGAACAATTTAGTCTAATAAAGTTTGTCTAAGAGATCAAATTATGATTTCACATACAACAAAACAACCCAAACTTGATTATTTTTGGATCCGTATCGTTTTTAGAGCGTGCTCTCATTAAACACAGCTGTGCATGATGCGATGCTGTGTTGAATATTTACTCAAAACTGAAAACATCGTTTATCATCACATTATAACAGGGAAATAGAAAAATAGGGCACTCCAAGTTGGCCAGAAAAATCATTGAGAATGAAAGGTTTTGTGGTTTTCGATGTGGCAAGATGTGTATTTGGCATTGTTGGGAATACCCTTGTAATCGCTTGAATAATAAAACAGAAAATTCTGTCAAAATAAAATTTTTACTTTCTTCTCTTGCATCTTGCGATATGTGACGCATTCAAACTGCTATCTATCTTCTTTGTGCAGCTCAAAATCGTCACATTTTAGTCAAACTGCATAAATATTTTGGGCATATGTAATTTAATTTTTGAGACAAGCGGAGTTACTAAGATGTTGATCATTTCAATTCTGCGTTTTCGTGGAATAGTTGATGCATGTTCTTTTAAATATTCAGGAGAGAAATATATAGATAGAAAGAAAAAAGTAAATTATTAATAAATAGAACCTAAAATGGCTTCGCATTCAGAAAAAAGCAAATTAAAATAAATTTATGTCTTTTTCAATATTTAAAAACAATGTTTGTCTCCTATAAAAAGACCACTATTTGAAATATCTAGTATAAAATATAAAAGAGGTTAACAATAATGTCGAAAAAAGATAAACATAAAGGTAGACGTAAAGGTAGAAAAAAGGTAGATATGAGTGTGATAGAGACAAGTTAGAATATTTACAATTAGAAAATGGTGTTAAAATATTTAATTTGTTTGTTAAGATCGGTTTTTGTCTGCATATGTGTAAGGCTTCATTAAGTTTTAGAGAAAATTGAGTGTTGGCGGTGTCTAGGATAGTGAAACATGAGCGAGTGTATCTGGAGTGTTTAAAGCAATAAGTCAGAACGAACAAGAAAGAGCAGATGCATAAACTTGTACTAATATATTTTAAAACAATTTACTTGAACAACTTTGAAACTAATAAACAGTTTTTCATGGCATTTGGAAAGTGTAATATAGAAAAATGGAAAAGCTAGAAATTCCCGTAGAAAAGTCATTTTTCGTTTTCGTCAGTTTTCTGCTGGTTTCCATGACCTTAAATAATGAGAAGCATTTTATCATTGAGGTTATTGATATTTTATGGAATTTAATGTAATGATTTTGCCTAAAACAGTCAAAATTTATTGTTCAATATGACTTTTCGTCGAATAAAATGTGGTAAATTTAGATACTTTTGAATACGTTTTGTCTTAGGGAACGTGCCTATTCACAATTGCAGCTGTGATGAGACGTTACGTGCGTTTACTTTTATTTAACTGTAATAATATTTTAAAATTAAATTTTATAAAAAGCATTAAGTTTTGTTTATGTTTGGTTATGTAATTACACATTATAAACTTTTATGATTTCTAATTGGTCAGTAAAGCTAACAAAGAAGGCTGAACAAGTTATATAACACATTTCTTGAGTATTTCACTTACTGAGCAACGAAAAAACAAATGCTTTTTGGTATTTGCAAAGTGATATACAGAAATATACAGACCATTCCAAAACGTATAGTAAATCAATTATATCCTTCATATTTTTATCATGGAAATTTTCTTTATGTTGAGAATTTCAATTTGCATATTTGGTATTTTTGGAAATACTCTTGTGATCGTTACAATATTAAGAGCAAAAGATTCTGTTAAAGAAGAATTACTATTTTCTTGTCTTGCATCTCGCGATATGTGACGCATTTATACTATTGCGTATATTTCTCTTTAAGATCTTTGAACACCATTCGAAAAGCAATCCAATTTTGTTAAACTGCTCATATATAAGTGGCATAGATACTTTTTTTCAAATAAATGGAGTATCTATGATGTTAATCATTTCAGTTCTACGATATCATAAAATAGTTCATCCATTAAAACTTTCCTTCAATCGACAAAAGATAAAAACGCTTGTGGTTTAGCGTATATCATTGGTTTGATTACGACAGTTGGAATGACATTTCAAGAGTGAATTGTGGATCCTCAAGCCCGTTATTTTATTTACGAATTGTTTGCGTTTTATTCATGTTTCTAAATTTTCCTAATAACCTTTATGACTGTGACTTACTCCATAATTGCTCATGCATTGATTAAACAAAGAAAAGCACTACGAACACTCTCCAATCAGACACTTTCTCATCTACAATCCTCCACCAGGTCAAGTCTTTAAAGATATACTCGGCATAGTGAGACATTTATTGTTTGTGTCAGCACAGTTCTCTGCTTCACAGTGGGTCACGCTTGTTTTTTGGTTGTAGACGCGCTCTATATAAACAACACTGTTCCATCAAATTCTTCAACTAATCTTTACGTTGTTTATGTTCTCCGTCTTTTTGGCTCCCACGCGTTAAATCCTCTGATCTATGGAATATCAAATAGAAAAATGATGTTTTTATGGAATTGCTGCCCAAAAATAAGACCAATCTAAGTTGTTTTCAGTATCAAAAAGTAGAGATTTGTAAAATAGGGTCTCCTTTATGTATTTCGAACATTATAAAGTAGCTAGAATATAATTTAGTTCTGAATTGCATTAAGAGCGTTTATATTATTCTAAGAAATTCATTTTTGTTGATTTCCAACATTACATAATTTCATAATAGTACTGTATATCAGGTCGGCATGTTTTTCATCTCTTTATTTACTTTACAAATAAAGTAAATAAATGTGTTCGACATGATGATCACAGAATTAATTTTGCAGAGTTCTTTCTGTGAACAAAATTTTTAAAAGTGATCAGTTTTCTGTCAAATTTGTCGCAGATAGAGACATTTATTCCATCTACAACAGCATTTCTTCTCATGTTTTTCTTTATATGAACAAATAAATACTAAAATGAGATAAAAGCATTTTGACTGCATACACCCAGTGGCGTTTTATAAAGCAGTAGGCTAAGTAGACTGAAGCCTACAGGCCCGCCTTTTCAAGACGCCCGTTGTATATAGACATATTTTACCTTTTGCCTTTTTGTTGTAAATTCGACCATATATGCTGCTAGAACCTTTACGATCTACTGTTTTAATGCTTAATGCACAAAACTCATAAAGTGCAAAGGACTTACTCAAGTTGAACTTTAAATTTGTTCCTCAATGTTTACACTATATGAGTTACAAACAGAAGACAGGAAATGCAAAAGCAATGGAACGCCAAAAACGCAAACGACATTAAAACACTGAACTTACTTGGAGGAACAAATATCACTTAAAGACCCACAGCTTTGTCGCAGCCTAAAGGCCCGTTATCAGTTATCCGCCATTGTATATACGCAATGCAATAACGGAGAAAACATACAAATTATAACGTCTTTATAACCTCAGTATTAGATACGATATTCTCTTTCTAAAATGTACTTCACTTTTTGGGTACTTTGAAAAATTTAATAACCAGGCTTAACCGATAAATACTTTTGTCAGCCACTGCTTCGATGCATCGCGTAGCATTTCTCTATATTTTAGAACGCTGTAAATATCTTACCTTTTAAATTTTTTGTTCGTTTTAAGAATGAGAATTTTTTTGAATTTTATTGATATGATTTGTGTACGCTAGTTTTTCAAAAGCAAAAATTGAATTTTTAAACATTTCAATTTGAGGAGGGTGGTCTGGTTTTAAGGGAAGATTTGAGAAAGGCTGTAGGTTATCAAAAGAAACTCTCAGATAAATGGATAATTGCAGCAAATATGATCAGGAAGACAGGGAAAACAATAGTCGTTGTAGTAAGAAGATTTTTTGAATGAATAGCAAAGGACTTGAAAAATTAGTAAAAAATGTATAGGATAACAAGAGGACTTAGGAGGATAAATAAGAGAACAGGAAGAAACGTCATTCGTTTTAAGGATCAGGGATTTAAGAGATTAAGAGCACTATGGGAATATGAATATTTAGATCGTCTTCAGCCGCTGCAAACAATGATTTCCTCACATCTTTGGTAGCCTTCTTCACTTATACGGTTTATAAACATGGTATACAAGAAGTATGATTTTGCACTGCTGAGAGAGTTACTGAGTGGGGTGCTGGTCTGCAGAAGGGGTCTCGTTGGCAATTATGAAATTGCCATAAAATGTCGTCAACAATAAACGTTAGTTTAATGGCTTAATTTTTCGTAAAACTCTTTAATGATAGATTATTACACAACACAAGAAATTTCACTGTCTAAACTATCATGTACAAAATGAAAAGTACAAATAAATATTTATTATATGACAGCTTGGTCACAGTATAGGAATATACAGTAGGGCCACTTGGCTGTGCAACTGGCTGCAGTATATTTAATTAGTTTACTGGCTGCCATTTGCCATATCGTCAATCCTTTTGGTCACACAATGTGATTTACTGGCTGCCAATATGGTAATCAAATGCGTAATAAGATATGCGTGGCATGAAAAATTCAATGGAGTGGCCCTAATGTATGTTCTCTATACTATCGCTTGGTTGCATTGGTTTTATATTTCAGAAACTAGCACGGTAAATCCATCACTTGCTTATTGTGTTAGAATTATGTGGTCTCCCGCTATCAGTCTATTTATATGTGGAAAATTTGATAGACAAGTCCTGCACTTTTGAAAGTGTTGAACAAAAATAGAATATTAAGCTAATACAGATGACAAACGTTTAATATTAAAGCACTCACATTTTTCTTTTTCTAGCAGTTTAGATGTTGAAACAACATACCTTTAATGCCTTTAAACAAATGTCCTTTTATAACTTTAATTACAGAGCCAAAAAAGACACTTAAAAATATCTGCTTCGAATGATACAAGTTGAAACTGAAACTGATTAAAATATGTTGAGTCACGAAATACAAATTTTCAAGCAATTTACTTGTACACTAGATATTGACTAACACAATATTTCCAAGAAATAATGAGAATTGTCTATAGATTATATTTCAACTTTACATCCACGTGGAATATTCGACAATCAACTAGTGTTCTCTTGAACTATCAAAAGAGAAATATTGAGAGGAAAATGTTGTATTTTTTTTACATTCATTTTTGACGAACTGAGACTTGTTCATTTAGAAATTACTTATAACGATAGTGAGCTAATTTAATTTTTTAATGACAAAGTAACAATGCCATCTTTTTCATGACAAATGCATGCATGAATTTATATTTCACATTTTTACAGTTGAGTTGCAACGTTTGACGTATCTGCACGCAAATAACATTGTGAGATGGTTTAAAAACAAAATATTGCATGTTGTAAGAATACAAATACAGGGCTAAATAATTGACACATGATTCCAAGATATGGGGCATGAAGAATACTTTTTGTTTGTATTGGCACATTTTCTGTTTTTTATTGAATCATGTTTATTTTGTGGTTTCAGACGTGCTATATATAAACAACACTCTTTCATCAAATTCTTCCACAAACATTTTGTTATCAAAAAAACACATAGAAACAACATGGGTTTCACGAGGGAATTTCATATGACCCCTTTTGTGATTTGCACGTTGATATATGCTTCGCATGTGGTTCCAAACAGCTTTTATTTACTGTAATAATTAATTTAAAGTAAAGCCCGTTTCAAACGTCGCATTTTACATCCGCAGAAAGCATTAAAGACAAAAGAAAATGAGATAAACTTCCTCATTATCTTTTGTTTTAATTGCATTTGGCTCATGTAAAATGCAACGTTTGAAACAAGCCTAAGCCATCTAGTTAATTGCTTTTTTTGGCCACTAGGAGCACTAAGATGGATAGCCGCAGCCAGTAATCTAATTAAATATATAGCAAAACGTTGCACAATGGAGTAAGACTACTGTTTGTTTCTATACTGTGAGTGTAACTTACTCCTTAATCACTCGAGCACTAATCAAACAAAGAAAAGCCTTTAGGCCGTTTCAAATGTCAAACTTAACACGAGCCGAATGCAATTAAAACAAAAGATAATGAGGAAGTTCATCTCATTTTCTTTTATCTTTAATGCTTTCGGCGCATGTAAAATGCGACGTTTGAAACGGGCATAAGAGCACTCTACAATGCAAAACCGTCTCATTTTAAATCCTCAAAACAGGGATAAATTGAAAACATAATTCTTTTGTCGGCAGAGGACGGGATTAGTTAACTATTAAAACAGCCTCCATAACGTGTAACTAAAAGAATGAACGTCATTTCTCTCCTTTGAAGATAACGTACACTCTTTCTTGACATTATAAATATCGGTTGGTTTTAAAAATTCATTTAGCAGACGTTGACACCCGAGGAGTAGTCTGCCGAAATGCCTCGTGTCGCTTAGTTCGTTTAGAACTATTGGGTTAGTGCTCTTTACCTAAAACAGTTCTTTTAAGAACTATTAACTTTTTACTTTACTATTTTGTTCATTCTAAAATATTTGAAATTCAACTCTTGTATAAAAGTCATTTTCATAGTCCAGCAGCAGGCATGATTACTTCACAGATCGTTTCACTTGGGCAAAAAATTAGATGATTTGTTATCGGCAATTCATGATATCTTGACATGGTCGAACAATTTAGTCCAATAAAGTTTGTCCAAGAGACCGAATTATGATTTCAAAAACAACAAAACAACGCAAACTTGATTAGTTTTGGAACCCTATCGTTTTAAGAACGTGCCCTCATTAAACATAGCTGTGCATGATGCGATGCGGTGTTGAATATTTACTCTGAAAACAACGAAAACAAAGTTTATCATCACATTATAACAAAGAAATTGATAAAAAGAGGGCACTCCAAGTTGGCCAGAAAAATCATTGAGAATGAAAGGTTTTGCGGTTTTCGGTGTGGCAATATGTGTATTTGGTATTGTTGGAAATATCCTTGTCATCGCTTCAATGATAAAACAGAAGATTCTGCTAAAGAAAAATTTTTACTTTCTTGTCTTGCATATTGCGATATGTGACGCAATCACGCTGCTATCTATCTTCTTTGTGCAGCTCAAAATCGTCACATTTTTGTCAAACTGCATAAACATTTTGGTCATATATAATTTAATTTTTCAAACAAGCGGAGCTACTATGATGTTGATCAATTCAGTTCTACGTTTTTGTGCAATAGTTCATCCATTGAAACCTTCCTTCAGTGGACGAAACTTATCAGTTGCTTATTGTGCAAAAATTTTGGGATCACACGCTGTCAATCCATTAATCTATGGAATACTTGACAGAAAAGTTTTGTACATTTGGAAGTGGTGCACAAGAAGATAATTATTAGCAAATTCAGATAACAGGACGTTTGAAAATTGCTTACAGGTTTCCTGTTTTAATGTTTAAACAATTTACGTTTAATTAATGTTTCAAAAACAAGGCCTTTATTGAGTTCAGTCTCAGAACCAAGAAGACCTCTAACGTGCTTACTGAAAAAACATTTTCTTCGAATGAGACACGTTAAAACCTAAAACTAACTAGAATAAAGTCAAAGTTTGCTGCACATTACGGTTCTCAAGTAATCTTTACATAGATCCCGAATAAGACAATTTTTCAAAGATAATGAAAATTGTCTTTAGCTATATTGTATTTCAACCTGTCATTCACGTGGAGTATTTGACAATTAAGTAGAGTGTTGTTTTGAAATAGCATAAGAGAACTATAGACAAAAAAATAGAAATGTATTTGGATTGTCTTTATTTATGACTTTGACTAGTTCATGTAAAAATTACAAACAACTGAAATTAGCTGATAATTGTTTTTAATTGACTGCGTTAGCCAGCTACAATGCTATCTTTTTTTAACAAATGTATTCATTCTTAATTAGTTCACATTTTACTTGCTCAAATGCAGTTTTAGTGTTTGGTTTACCTGTGATTTAAATTATGAAATGCATATTGTTTGAAAACAAATTATTGCTTCATGGTTAAAATGAAGTATTGGGAAAAAATTTTGATAGGAAATTCCATAATGCGTTACACGAAGCAAATATGAGGAGGGAGACAGGTAGAAAGGTACTTAGTGTGTTGTTTTGGAAGAAAATTAGATAAGGAGACTTTGTGGATGAATAATATACTGTGGAAATTAAAAGATTGCCAAAGAAGATGTGTGGTACAAGAAAGCTAAAAAGAGTAAATATGAGATACGGAAGATACGCGATAAGGTTTAAGTCATCATGGATGGAAGAGCCTTTTCTATATTTTGAGGTGGGGATATCACTTCACAAAAAAATATGAATATTCAGAAGCTCTATAGACTGCTGGGAAAAACCATTTTTTTATCGCTTTAGACTTCGGTAGCCCTGTTCACTTCTATGGGATATGAATTTTGCATTTCTCTTACTTGACGCACATTTTGGTCATTTATTCGTGACTATATTTAGGTATTCTAACAAATGTTGGCTGTTTTTGCGTTAGAGACGCCCTCAAAAGGACGTATTTTTATTCTCTTGTAAAGAGAGAAAAGACGATATTAAGGCATCTGAAAGATTGGCTTATTGGATAAATTTTCTGAAAAAATTCACTTTTACATTGGTCGAAAGCGAGATGTTGGTCTGTAGAAGATGTCTCGTTGGTAACTATCAATCTGCAATAAATACAACGTGAACAATTGGCGTTGGTTTGATGACTTCGATTTTCATGAAATCTTTTATGATTGATTGTTACGCGAAACAAGAAAATTTAATCTAAGCTGTCAAACACAATAGCGAAACGTAAATTTTATCTAAACAATAAGTGTTTATTCGGTGTCCATAAATTCTACCCTACCCCACACCCTTTCATTAACAAAGATGTTTAGTCACATCATAATTCACCGACACATAGTTTAGACATTAAAACAAAATTTTCATCAATATAATGAAATCTCAGGAGCAGCATTTTGTTCGTCAAGCCTATTTGGATTAACTATAAAACACAAATTTGTCATAATATTGTCATCTTAAATGCTACAGTTCTTCAATTTTCATTACTATAACTGCCAATTTGTTGTAAGGAAAAGACCAGCAGCTGTATTTCATACCCAAAACATATAATTGATGCTAATTTTAAATATCACAATACGTAAAATAAGCATCATTCTTTAAGTATATTTTCTTAAGGCATATGCAAAGTGAAATAAAGGAAAATAAGGCACTTAGTAAGTCAGACATATCAGCAATATCTTTATGGATCCTCGTATAATTTCCATTCTCGCAATATGTGTATTTGGTATTGTTGGAAATACTCTTGTGATCGCTTCAATATTGAAACGAAAGATTTTGTTAAAAAAGAGCTACTACTTTCTTGTCTTGCATCTCGCGATATGTGACGTATTTGTATTCATAAACTTATCTTTTTTTAGTATCTTGACTATCAATTCAAAAATAACTCATTTCGGTTGGTTAAAGATTTTGTTAAAGAAAACCTACTACTTTCTTGTCTTGCATCTTGCGACTTGTGAAGTATTTGCTCTTTTAAGTATATTTTTCTTTCAGTTCAAAAGTGCCTCATTTTTGTCCATTTGCTCATATATAGCTTCCATAGATAATTTGTTTCAAATAAGTGGAATATCTATGATGTTGATCATTTCAGTCCTACGTTTTCGTGCGATAGTTTATCCATTAAAACTTTCCTTCAGTCGAAGAAATATAAAACTCGCTTGTGGCTTAGTGTACATCATTGGTTTTGTCACAACTGTTGGAATAAAAATTCAAAAGTGTATTGTAGATCATTTTTACTTTCTTCTCTTGCATCTTGCGATATGTGACGCATTCGCACTGCTATCTATCTTCTTTGTGCAGCTCAAAATCGTCACATTTTGGTCAAACTGCATAAACATTTTGGGCGTATGTAATTTAATTTTTGAAACAAGCGGAGTTACTAAGATGTTGATCATTTCAGTTCTGCGTTTTTGTGCAATAGTTCATCCATTGAAACCTTCCTTCAGTCGACGAAAGACAAAAATCATTTGTGGCTTAACATACATCATTGGTTTGGTTGCGACAGTTGGCGTGACATTTCAAAAGGGCATTGTGAATCCTCAAGGCCGTTATTACATTTACGAATGGCTGCCTTTTTTTGGCTGTTTCTGCATTTTCCCAATATTATTCATGACTGTAACTTACTCCATAATCGCTCGAGCATCGATGAAACAAAGAAAAGCCCTAAGAGCATTCTCCAATGCAACACCATCTCATTTTCAATGCTCCTTAAACTCAAGTTCTCAAAGATATATTCGAAATTTCAAAACACTTTTTTTTGTGCACTAACAGTTGTTTAGTTTTCAGTTGGTTATAGTTATTATATAACCGCACGGTTGCAGTGGTACTATAATGCAGAAACTAACATAATACATGTATTTGTTAATATTTGTCTTAGTATTCTGGGGTCGCACGATATCAATCCATTAATCTATGAAATATTTGACAGACAAGTGCTGTACTTTTGGAAGTGTTGTACAAGACGGTTTAAGCAAATGCAGACAACAAAACGTTTTTAGTCACTTGCACGTTTCCTGTTCTAAACTAGTAGTGGAGATGTTTAAAAATTTTAATGTCTCGAAACAAGAATTAAGCCTTTTACAAATTTAATAATAGAATTAAGAAGAAGGAAGACCTCTGAAGCGTACTTTAAAAATTTAATTGCTTTCCATAACACAACATGGAAACTAACCAAAATTACTCAAAGTTATCTGCAAAATACCTTAAGCAATACATACGTGCACACTAGAACCCAAATAAGTAATGAAACTCGTCATTATTTTTCTAGAAAATAATAAAAGTTTTCTTCATTATGATAATATTTTTCAACTTTTTCTTTTGTGGAATGTTGGAAAAGTGTTGATGCATGTTCTTTTAAAGATTCAGGAGAGAAATATATAGATAGAAAGATATAAGTAAATTATTAATAAATAGAACTTAAAATGGCTTCGCATTCAGAAAAAAGCAAATTAAAATAAATTTATGTCTTTTTCAAAATTTAAAAACAATGTTCGTCTCCTATAAAAAGACCACTGTTTGAAATATCTTGTATAAAATAAAAAAGAGGTTAACAATAATGTCGAAAAAAGATAAACATAAAGGTAGACGTAAAGGTAGAAAAAGGTAGATATGAGTGTGATAGAGACAAGTTAGAATATTTACAATTAGAAAATGGTGTTAAATGTTTAATTTGTTAAGATCAGGTTTTGTTTGCATATGTGTAAGACTTCTATAAGTTTTAGAGAAAATTAAGTGTTGACGGTGTCTAGGATAGTGAAACATGAGCGAGTGTATTTGGAGTGCTTTAAACAATAAGTTAGAACGAATAAGAAAGAGCAGATGCGTAAACTTGTACTGCTATATCTTAAAAAATCTACTTGAACAACTTAGAAAGTAATAAACAGTTTTTCATGGCAATTGGAAAGTGTAATATAGAAAAAATGAAAAAGCTAGAAATTCTCGCCAAAAAGTCATTTTAGTTTCCGTCAGTTTATCCTTGTTTCCATGACCTTAAATATTGACAAGCATTTGATCATTGAATTTATTGATATTTTATGGAATTTAATGTAATGATTTTGCCTAAAATAGTCAAAATTTACTGTTCAATATGGCTTTTCGTCAAATAAAATATGGTAAAATTGGATACCTTTGAATGCGCTTTGTCTTAGGGAACGTGCCTATTCACATTTACAGCTGTGATGAGACGTTACGTGCGTTTACTTTTATTTAACTGTAATAATATTTTAAAATTAAATATTATAAAAAGCATTAAGTCTTGTTGATGTTTGGTTATGTAATTACACATTATAAACTTTTATGAATTCTAATTGGTCAGTATAGCTAACAAAGAAGGCAGAACAAGTTATATAACACATTTGTTGAGTATTTCACTTACTGAGCAACTAAAATATCAAATTCTTTTGGGTATTTGCAAAGTGAAATACAGAAATATACAGACCTTTCCAAAACGTATAGTAAGTCAATCATATCCATCATATATTGTTATGGGAATTTTCTTTGTGTTGAGAATTGCAATATGCAAACTTGGTATTTTTGGAAATACTCTTGTGATCGTTACAATATTAAAGCAAAAGATTCTGTTAAAGAAGAACTACTATTTTCTCGCTTTACATATCACGATATGTGACGTATTTGTATTAATAAACTTATCTTTTTCTGAAACCTTGCATGCCAATTTAAAAATTAACTCATTTAGGTTGGACTGCTCAATAGACGGTATAAGTATTTTTTTAAAATAAGTGGAATATCTATGATGTTGATAATTTCAGTTCTACGTTATCGTGCCATAGTTCATCCATTGAAACCTTCCTTCTGTCGACGAAAGACAAAAATCGTTTGTGGCTCAGTATACATCATTGGTTTGTTTGCGACAGTTGGAATAACATTTCAAAAGTGCATTGTGAATCCTCAAGATCGTTATTACATTTACAAATTGCTTGCGTTGCATTCATTTTTATCATTTTCCCAATAATCTTCATGACTTTAACTTACTCCATAATTGCTCAAGCATTGATCAAACAAAGAAAAGCACTTAGAGCTTTTTCCAATGCAAAGCAGTCTCATCTACAATCCTCCACCAGCTCAAGTCTTCACAGATACAGATGGAATGTTAAAACTTTGTTTAACTGTACGATGACAGTTTTTTGTTTTGCAGTCTTTTGTATTTATTTGTATACAGTTATTTTGTATTAGATATGTACTAAAGAAAGTATCATAGTCAAAGTAAATGTTGGTTCTTTTCTTGGTATTCTGGGGTCACACGTTGTCAATCCAATAATCTATGGAATATTTGACAGACAAGTGTTGTTCTTTTGAACAAATGGTGCACAAAAAGACAAATTTTAATCAATTTAGAAAACTACATGTCTGCTCTTTAATTACTTACGCATGTTTCTTTATCGGGTGTTAAAGGATACATTTATCTTAAATATAATGATTTGTTTAAAGTAATGTTCGATATTTTAGAGTGTGAATAGAATTTAATTTTTGTTGTTGTGTGATTGTAACTGAAACCTCCCTTTAATCAAAGAAATTGCATTAAGTATATATAGAAATTCATTATTAGTTTGCCAACCAAAATTAAAATGTCTATTGTAGATTAAATTTTAGATTCTTGAAGTGTATATAAAAAAGAAAGAACTTTGTAGTTTTAAGTAAAGAGTTATAGCTGTGTTTGCTTAATGAAATTGTAGCCACAAAATTCAATTATTGCAAAAAAAAGCATTTTTCTGTGGGCAGCAGCTTTATTGTACCCAACAATCTTTACCTTTCCCAAAATATATTCAGTGTGTCTTCGCCAATCTTCCATATCTTTAATGATTAATGAACAATTTTGTCCAATAAAGTTCTTATTAATAGACCAAACTAATTGCTGCTTCTTGTCCAATAAAATACCACAAATTAAATTAGTTTTGAATGTATTTCGTTTTAAGAACGTCCTCATTAAACACAGCTTGTGCATGATGGGACGCTGTATTTAATCAGTGCATCTTCACTCAAAACTTAGAAACTTTTTGTTTATATATTATTTGAGAAGTTACCTGTTTTGAACACCATCAATGGTTGCCAATATTCAAATCAGTGAACTCAAAATTTAGTAAAATTATTGTCACCGGGAGAGCATCTCATCAATTATACTCTCTCCAAAAATGCTATTACAAATCAAACGCATGCCTTCAGAGATATTAGTGATTAAATGTTCCCTTAATCCTCGTGAGGTTTAGTAAAACTCTTTCGGTTCCCGCATATCACAATGATCTTTGCTAATATATAACCAATGAACATGCAACTGAATAGCAACTATAAATTAAAACATTTGTCAAAAAAAGATGGTATTGTAACGCTGTCGAAGGAAGTGCATAAGCTAGTTATAGCTTTACATAAAAAGTCTTAGTTTGTCAAAGTTAGATGTAAATGAAGTGCAATTACATTTTCATCTTTCTGTCTATCTATAATTTTCACTTGAATTTTTAAAAGAACGTGTGCAGTAATAATTGTTTATTGTTCCACACGTAAAAAAACTAGAAAATAATAAAAAAGACAACTTTTATGCAGCTAACACTGAATTATGATAGTTTAGCTAGTTGCAGATTATACCTATCGTGCAAAGTATATTTTGTTAAAACAAGCGTAAGAAGTCTTCTTGAGTCTGTATATTGAACTACATAAAACACCTCTTTAAAAACATTATGTAATTCAAACACATAAAACCACTAAAACAAGAACATGCAAGTGATTGAAAGGTTAGTGTTTTGTTATTTGACCTATCTCAAATTTGTCTTTTTGTATAGCACTTCCAAAAATACAACATCTTTCTGTCAAGTATTTCATGGATTAGGGGATTGACTTTGTACGAGCAAAGAATTTTAAGAAAAGGAGCAATGTATATAATCTTTACGTTTTTCACTGGCGTAAAATAAAAATGCACAAAATCTGTCATACAATATATATGACCTACTAAAAAACAGAAAACAGTTATTGCACAAACGAAAATTTTTTTAAACTCTGTGTACATCTTCGAAGATTGGAACTGGTGAAGAATTGTAAATGAGTGAGACTGTGTTGTGTTGAAGTAAGCTCTCAGGGATTTCCTTTTTTTTTGAACAATGCTCGAGCAATTCTGGAGTAGCTAAGTGAAAGAAAACATTATAATGAAAATGTAAAAACAAGTAAAATAAGCAAAGGATTCATAAATGTAATAATGACGTCGAAGATCCACAATTCGCTCATGAAATATCATTAAAATTGTCGTAACAAACCAAAGATGTACGCTAAACCACAAACAATTTTTACCTTTCGTCGACTAAAGAAAAGTTTCAATGTATTGACGAACGCACGATGACGTAGAAACGAAGTGATAAGCATCATATGAGACTCCACTTGTTGTAAACAAAAAATAAATGGGATTTATATCAACGCAGTTAAAGAAAAGTGTGACGCTTTTGAACTGCTAAAGAAATATACATAGCAATGGCAGCACGTCACATATCGCAAGACGCAAGAAAAGAAAGTCATAGTTCTTTTTTTAAAGAATCTTTTTTTTAATATTGACGCTATCACAAGTGTATTTCCAACAATACCAATTACTTATATTGCTATATGTCACACAGGGACAACTTTCATAATAATACACTTAATATTTTTGAGCTACTTAATGTATGGAAGAGCACGATTTTCTTTATTTCATGTTTCAAATGAATTTCCAATGATGTGAAATACACATCTTGTCACAATGGAAAATATAAAAGCATCCATAACGATATCATTGATATAACTCATTTATACAAATTGTGACTATTAAATGTAGGTTGGAAAAGATAAATCTGAAATTTTGAAAAGTTGTACTGTATTGTTGTTTAACCAAATATTAAAGAACTTCACTGCCGTTCAGTAATTCCTTTTCCAGCGAATAAACAAAAATCCAATATAGCGGAGCATTACGGCTGTGCTAATAAGCAGATCTTTAAGAATAGAACTCGTAAAAATTATTGGCCATTTTCTATGACAAAAACCCATATTACATTCTGTTGAAATGAATTATTTCACCAAATTGAGAAAAGTACCACTAATTGTCAATAACTCCCATTTATTAAATGTTTGCTCATAGGAAAGGTCGTAGCTACAAACAAATACGCTACGGGAATTTTTTTACATTTTTGTGGATTTTTACAGGCTAGTAGAGTTCTGATAAGGATGTTGGTGTTGATGTTGTCTGACAATTTTACAGCCTTAACGGTTGTCATCTTCAGAATTAAGAAAGAATTTAATGCAATAAACATTTTTGTCGTCTGGAAAAATAATTAAGTCAAATAATTAAGAAAAATAATTAAGTCGACTTGGAGTTCATTATAAAACGCATCAGGGTAAACGTGCGTGAAATCTTTTGCTCAATACTTTCATAGGGTGTATTTTATCCCCAATTCTGCCTTTAATCTTCAGTTCCGCGTTTCATAACCAATTCTGCGTTTTATTCTAAACCAGTAGCAACCTAAGTGGCTACTGGTTTAGAATAAAACGC